CCTACTTCACAAGAGCTGGGAGGCCCAGCCCCCTCCATGGAATCGGCCGGAACTGGCGACGAGATGAGGGGTGGCCTGGCCCATCTCAAAGCACACACTTGCTGACATGTCGGACGCGATATGGGTGTTTCTGTAAGCAAGCGTACATACCTTGAGTAATTCATCTACATGAATTCATGTCACACATACATGGGTGATTGTGGACATACCAGCGTACGTTAACATTGTATGCCAAGAGACAAGCGGAGGGAGAGCGAGAGGAAAAGAGAGAGAGAGAGGTACCGGGCTACCTGTGCCTCGTCCTCTCGTCGTAGCTCAAGGACTCGGGCCCGCTTTGTATAGACGCGTTCAAACACCCGAAGAACAGCCAATTAAGCCCCTTGTTAACGTGCGCCAGGTCGGCAGACCCTGGATCAGCTGCCAGAGGACGCTGCCCTCTCTCACTTCTGCCCTCGAGCCGACCAACGCCAAGACGAAGAAATGGGCCTGCGAGAGACGCAATACGGAATTATCCTGCTAAGCTAACCTACTTAACTCGTGCCGTCGCAAGATTCAGTGCATTGCGAAGCCTCACAGCCGAAGCCGCCGACAAAGTAGCAACACGACAGCAGACTTGGCTCTGTAGAAGCATCTCGTTCTTGGAGGGAACTGGTGGAGAGGAATCTATCTGGCTTCGCAGCACGGAGGAACGCAACCCTTAGTCTGCAGCGCAACTTCTCAGCCTGCAGCTACGATGCTACTGATGCTACAACACATTGGTGAAATCTCTTCTGCTTTCGGCCTCCTGAACTGTCACACCTTGCCGCTGGCCCTCGAGCAGGCTCTGCAACCTTCAGCCAGACAAAGAAAGGCAGACCACAACACCGAAAACTGGTTTGGTTTCCGACCTCATTGTACACAGCTTGCAAGCCTGAGTAACGACAGAAGGTGAATGAAGTATGTTCCGTTTGCATGAAGTGCTCACGGATCGATGCCCTGCGTCTGATCCGACGGTGCAACTTCTTCACATCGGAGCACGGTGGCAGATAGCCATCGCGTAAGAAAACATGCTCATCTCATTGTACAAACCACGTGCGGTCAGGGCAGACGATGCACACCGCCAGGAATGGCAGGTCCCAAGTATAGAAGCAAAATTGAAGCACAATTTATGGCGGTGTCCTTTGTCACGATCGCTCAGCGACACTGAGATCACACACTGACTCATGCCCAATACCCAGAAAACCCCGAGGGACTGGCACATGCTCTAAAGCGGCGTTGGGCGTGAGGATCTCCAAGCAGTCCTTCGGCCGAATTCTGAGACGGGACTCTGGGCTATGGGGGATGTCGGTGTTCTTGGAATGGTTGTTTGTACCTCCACCAGGCCCAGGAAGCGCTGCCGCGAGGCAGCAACCTCCTCGGATTCGTGGAGGGCTCCGGGTGTAAAGGGCTCTGGGGTTTCGGTGAAGGGCGCAGGTCCAGGAATTAAGTTCCGTCAAATCAGTCAAACCTGTTCCGCGAGGCGATTTCTAACCCAAAAGCCACTAAGCACGAATCCCTTGTCTTCGCGACACTTCGAGCACAAAGTACAGGCCAAGAGGCATCATCGGCCTGAAAAGGGTCCTGTGTGGCGTTGAGGGTGCACCTCCGGATGGAGATGCCTGAGCCGGTGCAGCGACTTCGACCCTCTTTTCTGCACTCCTTCCATAGACCCTCAAAGCACGTCAACCCCCTGGCACCAGGTAGCGTTTAAGGCCTCGGGGCCCGCGCACCAAAGCACGAAGCCAGCACGGGCCCCGTTTTGACGCCCGAGCAGCGCTACGCTTGGGACCCGGCTCAGTAGCTCCTTGTAAACTCCTTGGAACCTGAGCCATGTCAAGGAAAACATGGTGCGCGGCCCTCGAGTTGGACTGTGACGTGCCGGAGATTGTCAACTACCACGGGCTCGGGATGCACTGAGTTCCACTTTGGAGCCAGGCTGGTCGATCTTCACGTCGTTCTCCGGATGCCTCGTACATTATAGGCAAGGATCGGGATGGAGGAGGCTTGAACTTGTTGGCACGGGCTGAAAACGAAGGAAATCGCCGACCCACGCATGCGTCAAACCAGGCTACACACCCAGTTACTCTCTCTGGAAAGGCGGAACACATGCAACACCAGTTTTCCCGGCCCCCTGGCCCTCTGAGAACCGTGCCGGCAGACTTCGTTGGCAAGGCGATGCCAGAACTCTAGAGGTATGGCGCAAATCTCCTCCACAATCCGTCAATCTTCTCACGGTCCACTGCGCTGGCCGAATCGCGGTTTGCTATTTGAGCTTCGTGATCCTGAGCTCCCTTCTGCTTTGGCCTATAATGGTCTGCTGGCTCCAGCAGGCCAGGTCAACTCTACTGCTTCTTGCACTGTCCCTGATAACACCTGATGAGCACTTCAATCATCCAGGCCATGACAATGAAGGTCAAAAATGCGTGATGCATGCATCGATCCTTCGATGCGTGTTTGTTGCATGCTTGAAGATCCTGGATCTCGAGGCGATTGCAGTGGTGCCACACATTCAAAACTGCGCATTGCACCTGCAAGTTGCCACCTTTTCGTATACATCGCCAAAATGCGGTGTGTGCATCGACACATGTGGCAAACACGGCTGTCGCCTGAGTCCACGTGTCATGACATCGCGGAAGAGAGATTTTGACACACTGTTCACGTGACTACTTTATTTGAGTCCTTTTACACCCAGAAATCGTTAAGCCCATACCCCGGCCCCGCCTGTGACGGAAGATCTGTGCAGCGCAAGATCACCTTTGGACAGCGGATGGCTGCGATCTCTCTGGCTTTGCCATGAACCCTTCCTGCTACTTCAGCCTCGGCCTCGCAAGCCACATAACATGATTGACAACACGACACCTGGCACATACGAACACCGTTTCACTACATTATATTACCATACATTGTCCACGTCTGCGCCTGCAGGATGAGCACGACCTCCGCTTCCGAGCCTGCTGAGGCTTTCATGCTTGCTTGGTCGTGTGCTTCAGGTGTTTAAGCTCTGTAGCACTTGTGGCTTCGCGTTGAGGGGTTTCGGTTGTAAGGCTTGCATGCACGAGCCCTGGTCTAAGGACAAATCGGGCATGATATGTATAGTTGAAGACTCCCGACTGTCAGGCGTTGTTCGGGAGTCCACAGGCTGCAGAATTCAGCACTTGACTTACCGATTAGGACAGCGCGAAAGAGCAGGTCATGCATGTGCATGTCAGTTCATGTGCCACCAATCTGCTTCTATCCATCTATACTATCTGATCAATACATTGTTGTACAAGACTTGTACAAGTTTGGTCAGGCCTTAACTTACCTACGGGCCCCCTTTGTTCACCTCAGTATACACAGGTCGCTGTGTATGCGTTGCACTGAAGGCTTCTATGTGCGAATGTCTTTCTGATGCATACCGGCAGGTGGACAGTGGACGCGGCATGTGTCCGTTTTCTGGTGCATAAACAGAATAGTTTCACGAACCTGGCAGTGTGAACTCTGCAGCCTAAATTCAAAGCATCGGCCCACCCTGGGAAACACGGCCTGACACGTCTGTGAAACCGCTCAACGCGAGATCTCCGGCAGGCTTCGACGTTACAAATCAAGCAGCTCTGCTTGAAGGACGCAGCAGACGTCCCTTTGGCGCTAGGGCCGTAGCTTTGCTGCATAATGATAGGAACCAAGCACTCCCCGGTTTCCACCTGGGACGACAGACGCGAGCTGGAGGCGTCTACTGTGCTGCTTGGCAGAAGGCCGACGAGGGCCCTCTGCGAGAGCTAAGGCAGCTACTGGGCTGCTGGAGCTAGAGCTACTGCTTGGCTTTGGCATCCAAGCATCTGCAGGAGACATCCGAAACCTCTAGACCCTCGCGACAGCCCGTGAACCAGATCGACTCCACCGGGCTAGCCGCTTAGCCTACACCAATAACCCCGACACAAGAATCTCTCAGCACCGGGGCATAGATGCGACAGATTTGGAGAAGCCCATCCTGGGTGCGAATAACATGGGAGGGCATGGGGATGCACCGAAAAACGTAGGGTGGAAAGGTTTGGCACTTTTGCTGTGCGGTGGCCGCTGTCGAGAAAGAGTGGTTGTAGAGACAGGTCGTTCCTGCTTTGCAACTACCAAACATGACATTACAACCTCAACGTGGCTTTGCTCATCTGCTGGGTTGACTTCAAGCCAGAACCCACACCATCATGTAGACTGCATATGCAGAAGTTAGGTGACCAGAAGTGCCCAAAGCCAGCCGAGGGAACAAGGAAGTCTTCATCGCTGCGAGGGCTAAAGACGGAACCGCAGTAATAGAGGCTGGCTCATGACATCCCTGACAGCTCGACAAAGTCATCTGCAATGATCCCAAACGGGTCCTCGAGGTAATTCAGAACATGAGATCACCAAGAAACCGAAGAACACAGCAGTCGAAGCCTGTAGCATCCCGTCCCAAACTAATCCAAAGAAGAGCGAAGAACTCTAAAGAGCAAGCATTCCGAACAGTCAAACCCCCACAATTGTGGCCAACTCTGACACCCAAAGCCCTAAGGAAGTTAAGGCTAACTAAGGTCATACACTCAAGACTGTTACAGTCTCTTGGGCCGACCCTCAGACACAGATCGAACAACCTACTTGCCCCAGGCTCTGAACATGGTGGTACCTTCCCAAATACACGCCTAACGCTGCAACCTGCCCCGAGCATGGCAAAGCCCCAAAAGAAGGCCCCCAGCCTGGTCTGCATCCAAGGCTGCCTCGGCACCGCGGCCAAGAAGAGCCTCGAATTTGGTCCTGCTCAGGATAGCGAAACAGAACACACCGAAACAACCCACATGAGGTTCTCACCCGGGGCAAGGCTAGAGTTTCTGCGCTCCGGGTTGCTGCTGCCTGACGTCTATCGTCCCAGTGTAACAATTGGATTCTGCCGTCTCGGCGATTAAAAGCAAGGTTCTTCACAGATCTTCACGAATTGAATACAAGAAGGACTGAGATAATGAAACAAAACAGACCGATGATGCCAGAACCATTAGTCTTTTACATCCAAGCCTTGGGTGCACACTGCGAAACTCTCTCTCCTTCTCTGCCCTTCGAAGTTCGAAAAAAGCATGTCATTCTGCCACCGGTAAACAAAAACGATCTCGAAAGGCGCCATAGCGCTTTGGCTCAGTTCGCGATGTTGCTTTTGCGTAGGTGTAAGCACTTCAATCAAAATGTCAATGACGAGTTGGGATCTAGACCGTGCGAGGAATAACGAGACTAGTGGGACAGAGAGAAGTAGTAATTTCAGGCCTAGTCCCAGCGTTGATTTGCATATCATGATGGGGCGGCCAACATGCCATGCGCTGTTTCTATAGTACCATTAGTGAACTTACACGACTTTGAGGCCTCGACTTTTTCCCATCCACACTATATACATTCCCTTTGTAGAACAAGGCGTCGGAGACTTATTGAACTTGATGGTCCGGTGGTCCGGCTTCTTCTTGGGTGTTGTGTTGGGTTTGTTGGTGTTGCTTTTGCTCCTTGTAGAGTGGCTTCAGGCTCTTGTCTGTTGAGCCCTTCACCTCGCTTGGGCTGGGTTATGGCCTTAAGACCCTTCTCTACTCAGCGCTGCTTTGTCTGTGTGCGCGCGAATTCCGCTGAGTCTCATAACTTGGACATTGTAGGGTGGCGAGGTGTCTGGTGTGGGGTTTGGCTCAACTGCGAAGCGTTCGAGTACATTACCTTGCGTAGCACTCCGCTGCAGTTGTGCTTTTGTGCCTGCCTCAGCCCACCAAGCTGGCTCAGTATGACCTGCCCAGATGACAGAGGTGAGTAGGCCAGGCTGTCCAATGCTTTCGATCTGAATCGGGAACTGGGTCTAGCAGCCAGCAGGCGTTGGAGCCACGACATGAGCACAAGGTGCATTGAAATCTGAAACTTGGAAGTGGGGAAGGTTTTTACGAACCCATGGAGGAGATTTTGGCGCTCCGCAAGACACAACGACCAGCCGTGACCAGCCCAGCTGCCTGAATCACCGGCTGGTACACCGAAAAATCCTGACTGCACATTCGCAGCACCTGGCACAAGAAGACATGCTGCCGAGCGCACATTCCACTTACTATGCAGCAGGATTCAGGACTACAAATTCCAACTGGAGGACATCACCAGGCTTCGTGACTAAGTACCTACATACATGTCTAGATGCCGTTTACACGGCCTGCTCGTTTTCCAAGTTGCTTTAGCTGTGCTTTAGTTGATCTTGGATAGCGTCGCGCCCTGAGGCTAGAAAACTGCTAGGAGTTGACAACTTAAGAATCCTTGGCTGACTAGAAAGCGCACGAGGCGACACAAGCCCGAAATGAAATCAAAGCCTCACGAGCTATCAAAGGTGCTTTGAAACTCTGGCAATTGCCAAGCCGGCCCCAAACCCCAGACTCATGAAAGCTGAATCTCAAAACTCGTCATGGCCCTAAACAGCCCTGACCAGCATGGAGCGATGCACGAAGCCTCGATAATGATGTCCGTGGCAGTCTCACTGAGCTCGCCACCTTCGACCTCTGCATGGGATAAAAATGTTCATTCTGCGATTCTTGACCGTGGAAGGTTGAGAGTTGCAGGATTCGAGAGTTTGCGCTTCACCTTTGGGGGGTGAAGGCGGTCCATAGCTGACAACGGCTGTTCCTTGCCAGCGCACGGCAAAGCTGAGGATTGGGGGCTTTTTGATACACAAGGTCTGGCAAGTAGCTTAGCTCATTGATGGGGTCCTCCGGGAAACTCTGCACGGAGCTGTCGGCAGAACTGACTCGGGAGCCACTCCCGGCACGATGTGCAACTGCTAATTGCTACCTTCGGATCATATCGCAAGAGGAAATTTCATGTCACGAACCTGGGCACTGACTGGACATATCAAACCACGCAAGGCTGGATCCAAATCAAACGTCGGAGCGACAAACAGGCAGGTGTGCAGCCCCGAGTGCGGCACGACATACTTGAAACACTCCGGAATAAATGGGTTCTGCGCGATCTCGTTGGCCTGTGAGCCAGGCATGCTGGTCAAACACGGCATGGAACCTCCGAGTTGGCAGTTCCAGCCCCATGCGGCTTTGAACATGGATTCTCGGGGTCTGCTCTGATGAAAACCCAGATCTAGGGATCAGCGTTCTTGCTCAGAGGATCCCATTTTCTTGCTCAGAGGATCCCATTTTCGCAGGTTCGAAAGTCTTTGTTTTTATTTCTGCCAGGTCGCTCGTCATAGCGGCTGGACTAGTGAGACTTATAAGGTCTTCTCACACCGGCCCCATTGCCGACATGCGCTGCCGAACCTGCAAGTTGGTGTACTTGATCCAACTGAGAAAACACCTCAGCCACTCCGCCACGGGAGATACCACATTGAGGGAATGCACTGAGGTGGAGAGCTAGAGCTATGCCTCACACTTCATCGAATCCGGTCTCGCCGGGGCCAAGGCTCCAATACTTTTCGCTTGGCTTGCACCTCAGAGTAGAAACACTCTGTGCCCATGCACGACTCGACTCGTGCATCCTCTCAAGGCACGTGTCAAAAAGCCCTGGATCGTCGGGCCAGCCGCCTTTCCGAGTCTGAAGCGGGAGAATGCTGTTTTCTCGGCATAGACGCATACAGACGCCAGCGACAAAGACTTCAAGCACACGGGCCTCAAAGGACCTACGGCAGCTGAGCCCCGGACATCTGAACACTGCAAATTCAGGAGGAACTGCACGACCTGAGCGTCAGGTGCCGAAGTCCTGCCTGAAGCCACGCACTCAGAAGAAAGCTCTGTGGAGCCCCGCCTGTGCCGTCGCAGCTTGGATTCTTTGACTGCAGCTTTCCCGCTTGAAGCTGTCCGTCATCAGCTTGTAGTTGTTGTTTTCCTGATCGTCCCACAGCGGTAACGGAAAATGAGCTGACTGAGGCGTTCAGTCCAGGGTCGAGGCTACGCCGGCCATACATTCACCAACCGTTCACGTTGCAGGGACCAAGGAGGCACTATCACGCCAAGCTGCCTCCGGGAGCATCTTCATCACCTGGCTCTGCCCGTAGCACCCTGAACTCTCAACCTAGCTTCTTTGCCTAGCTCACAGAATCGAAGAGTCGTATATACCAGTTATCACGAGAGGCTCTGCGGGCTTTCGTTGCTTAAGACGTGCCGTGCCCATAGCGCTAAGCCCGCGCATTCAACGACAATCACTGCCACAAAGACAACAGTGACAAGACGACAACAACAGCGACACTCTCACATATTCCAACAACGAGAACGACCGCGACGACGAGGTGGCAGCAACAACGAATAACTACAAACAACGATGACGACGAAGAAGTGTGGTGCCTCGTTGTTTCATTTTTCCTGAGGGGGCGGGGGAAGGGGTACGAGGGGGTGCATACTTCAAAACCTATTCTGAATTACGGGGGGAGGGGGGGGGTGGTTAGGGCAAAGGTTGAGGGTTTAGGGTGAGCCTCCCCGGTTGCCCGCTGTCGGTCTTTTCTCAGCTGCGACGGCCTNNTCTGTGAGCGTGGCTGTCCGAAGCCTTCCTTTCATTCTTTTTTCGGAGTGGTAGGTACAGACTGCAGGACACAGTCCGTCATAACGATGTTGACCAGGAGAGGACGTGCTGTTGAACAACAACACACATCAAGTAACACCTACACCATCACTGGCGGGACCTCTGAGTTAATACCATCTCCCACATCCTGAATCATCTGCTAAATGGAGATATCAACGACTTGCAACATCTAGTTAGCATTGCATGCCCCACAGTGCCCGCCGACTTCGTCGGAGAACTCGCAACAGCTTGAGATTCAAGGGCAGCAGAAAGGACTATTCAAGCCTACTCAACAATTGGAAATGTTTGTGCCCCTGCGCCCCTGTTGTGCTCGAACAGGTAGCCAGCGCACCGGCGACTCAAATGAGGTACAACTAAACCTTCTTCTGTGCGATTTATTGGAAAAGGACCACCTCTGCGGCGGACAGGGTCGCCTCCCCCCTCATGTCATCCAGTAGGCTTATACAACGCCTAGCGCGGAGCTCAGCGCTGTTCAAGGACATGTTTGACCACACTCTCTGTCCTTATTTCTTTCTTGCTTTCTTTCACACCGCTGTCCATCCCCCAACCCCTTCCCAGACCCGCCCACCCCCATGCACCCCGTCCCACCGAAGCGGTGGGACTTTGAGCAACACAGCAACGCATGCATAGAAAAATGACGCACGTGTTCCCCTGAGAACCCCTTCTCTTCACCTTCGCCACTCTTACCACACTCCCTCGGAGCAGTTCATCTTAAGCCTGAGAATGACCGAGAGCCTCCAACAGCGTCGACCAGCTCTGCGGAGTTTGCCCGAAGCGCTGGAACAGGGTCTCGATCGGATTAGGCCTGAACCCCAGAATGAGAGGCATGGGGTTGTGGCTTTATGTCAACATGTGGAGCCTACATGTGAGGCCTAGGTCTTGGCTCTCAGACTCTGCAAGGCTTGGTGGGATTTGGGCGAAAGTTCTGGCAGATGTGTAAGGCAGATGTGTAAGGCTGGCTCCAGGCATTGTCCATTTGGATAGCCAGGTCCGCGAGTGCCTGACACCAGAACTTTGCACATGCAGCGACAAAGGGTGACAAGTGAATGGCTTCAGAATGCGGTTGGCTCTACTGGCAACAACTCGAAGCCAAATCCTCAAACACTTGCAATTGCAACATGTTCTTTCAAGGTTGACCACTTGAATATTTAAAGTTAGGAGCGCCACACTCTGAACTGATCTGAGCCTCCCTTCACAGGCACCGCCACTCCCCAGAGCTGAAGCACCCACCGGGACTATCTCGACGTCTGCCCAATGCCCGAGCGCAGCACGATGGCAAGCTGTGTGTGAATAGGCTGATGCTCCGCTGCTCGAAACCTGCATCTTCAGGGATTCAATCTCTGAATGGAAGGTCGTCGCTGTGGCGGCCCCGCATTGCCGAGTGGTACTATTGGGGCTTCAAAAGCAAACTTCACAGGTAGCCGCGAACCTTTGCCAAGGCTTCAGTGTGAAGGCGCAATATCACACAGCTGCAGACGTGCACTCAAATTCACGAAAGCCGGCACTGTCCCCGGCAACAGAAATCAACCAGCGTCACTACCCATGAAGGCCTGTCGATGTGATTCAACATCGAGTCCCGGAGAGCTCCGTAACTCTCAACCGGGAGCTCATAAAAATCAAATTGCACTTTTGTTCGCATCGTCTGTGCCTCGGTCCGGCTGATCTTCAAAGAACGCGAACATCTACGAAAGCATTCACAACGGAATCAACCGGTCATGGTGGGATTCTGGGGCAAGCACACCGAAAAATCGGTACTCCATCATGGGCACATCGGCTGCGCTTAACAGCTTGTCTGAAACCTGGGAAGAAACCGGACTTGTCAAAGACAATTTTGCATGCGAGGCCACATGTGCATGCTGCTGCTTGAATCTTTGGTATCCAGAATATCGGCATTGTGGACTGATCAGCGGGTTGGGCACTATGTGGCTTAAACGTAGCTTCTCGTTCGTGATGTTTCTGGTGTGGCAGATGCACGTAACGTCAGCCACGAAAATAACGACACGCGTGTTCACTATCTGAATCTCATCTCATGCTCCGAGTAAGCATGGTCAGATGGTTGCGTGATCGCGGGACGGTTTGTAAGATTTCGTAAAGACATCATGATAAAGCGGAGCCCACCGCCATCCAGAATAGAACGTAGATCAAATGGCTAGAATTTGATATCTGGGACCTCTATGGACGCTGTTGCTGGCACAACTGTTGCACCACGACTCATGAAGTCAACCGTCATCCTGACCCATGCTTTAGGTGATGAAGACCTTGCTCACACGGTCAAAAGAGGGATAGCGCATGAAGGTCCATGTAGGCCTACCGAAAAACTGACGTCATAATTCCTACACAAGCAAATTGCCAACATGGCAAAGCCGGGCCGGGTGTTTTGCAAAATAGCTTTTCAACCTAGCAGACCCATAGAAGAGTTCTGGGATGGCTTTGGGAGGGCTCTCTCGCTGCGCTTCGTGGCCTTTGGAGTTCTGAGCTCGTTATGTACCTGATACGGTCTGCATGGTTGTCAACCAGTTCACACATTGCAGTTGAGAGAACAGTCAACGGTATGGAATGGAATCTGCGATTCACGATTCCATGCGTGTGAGATGAACGACATGCTTGCGCCACTGTCGATATGAGCTTCAGGACCTGATGAGTTCGGTATCAACGATGAAGTAGCTTCAGCTTGTACTTGTAGCAAGCTTTGTCCGGCGTGATCGCTGTACGGAACATGCCAAGATTTCATTATGCAAGCTTGGTTTAGGAAGGCATGGCAAGGCCTCGAAGTTTTTCTTGCAAGAAGGGTCAGTAGTCGTCGTTCTGTGGGCGACTCAATCGTGGTTGGCCTTGTCTCGACGACCCCGAGTCTGCGAGAGAGCGAAGGAGGGGAAACACGTCCCCGGCTCGAAGACTTCGCGAGGTGGAAGGAGTTCCGACAAATGGCTTCGTTGGCGAGGGGGCTCACCAACACGCCCCGTTCATGTGCAACAAGGTCGCCACGACAGGTCGGAGAAAAAACAAACCATGAAAACCAGTGCATGAACATGGCAAACCGACGTGATAGCAAATTTACAGGAGCAGCCACATCCAGAGCGGAGGCAGTTGGACACCCGGCCAGATGATGCTCACGATGCTCGCCCTATTCAAGAGGCTCCTCGACACAACAGAAGCTGAATGTAACAGCACTCCCTAACTCTGCTTCTCATGCGGCACCACTTCCGTGACTTTACATTACTAGGTGTGCCACCCAGTAAGCATCAAAACAAAGATGCTACCTCGACCGCGACTTGTACAATTATACAGCAATACCAGTCACAAAGGGTCATACCTGCAATTACTGCAGCCTTGGCAGCCACTGTAGTTCATACCTACTCCGCTCTCTGTAAATCGTCGCCCGCCCACATATCTGTTCGTGGATGAACCCTAATCCAACCCACACCCCAGACTTTCATCCTGAATATAACCCTCTGTGGAGCCAATCAGGCCGAGAACCTCCCATGCCACAGGCGTCTGCTGGAACTTTGTCAGAAACGCCTCGGCACAGACTTGTCGGATCACTTCAGGCTTCGCGTTGACATGTCAAGACGAAGGGTCTGAACCCCGCTACGATATCACAGGCGAATGTGCTCACGACGACTCTACAATTCATGGTTTAATGTCATTCCTGGGGACCCAGAAGCCCGTGTATTCAGAGCAACCGACAGCACAGCAACACTGCTCCCTGTAACAGAAGCATTTGTCCTTCATTTTCTTTCTTGCCTTTCCTTCCTTCCTGCCTTCCTGTTTACGGACAAACGTGTCGCAGGCCTAACCTCTGTGACAGACACTCTCGAGCCAAAAATTAAAAACATCGGATCCCGCTAGAATGGCAAGCCACTCTCGTAGACTCTGTTATAGAACAAGCATCGCCTCAAGGCGGATGCAACATCTAGTGTACGTTAAAAAATACGACACATGACTTCCAGCTTTGGGCCGGTCTGCAAAGTCAGGTCTAGAAAACAAACAGAAATGCGCTGCCTTCCAACCTGTAGAAAGCGGAGATAGTATGACTTGGCCCCAGGAAAACTAAATCATCCGCAATTGGTCAGCAACAGGCAAAGCCGAACTTGAGACAGGAACGACTTAGTTTTTTTATGAGGCCGATGTTGGGTACATGATGCATCTCACGAAAAGCTGCGAATGCGATTCATAAGTCAGACCGGGAGGGCGGTGCTCGATATGTAAATAGAAAGCTGACAGCACGGTTGGCTCGGTTTGAAACTAGGTTAATTGCACCGATTCACTGGGCAGACTTGATAGCACGAACTCGGCTCACGGGAATGCAACTAGTCAAACAGAAAGAACACATCGAATACTGCCTGCTCATCAGGTTTGTCACATGGCAGGCTGCACTTTATGAAATTCAACCCATTCGGGTTGAAGTGAAAATAACCAAACATACATGGCTTCGACATCCAATCCCGGAGGAGATAATTTGCTTGGATAGCGCGAGATGCCCTACGATTTTATGGGTCAAGGGCAACACTCAGATGCATCACACACGCTGCTCGCTTCACGAGGCAAAAACAAACTGGTTTGGGATACCCCCAATGCATTTCAAGTCGGAGTGGTTCGGACGGGCAGGCCCGGGAAAAGAGGGCGCCCCATCAGAAGAAAGGGCACGAAACCGGGCGCAACAAGACTACAGCAGCAGCCGGACCCGTGTGAGAAACCCCTGGAAAGTAGCTGCAAGCAAGGATCGTCAGCTTCCTTCTTGGTGGCCGGATCTGGCGAACTGAACAGTGCCTCCAGGAACAGCACAGAGCCGCCAAAGGCCGAGGGTCACGGTCGATGAGACTTTCAAAGATGCACGTAGCATGTCAGCTCTCGAAACCGATACCTGGAGAATGCGTGAAGCCTGCAGGGCGGACAATGCTTGCTCCATTTCAGCAAGTGCTTGATGTTAAAGTACTTGGCAACCTGAGCCAAGCCCTCCCATTGCAAGCTTCAGAGCTCCTTCCTGCGATGCTTGGGTATCGGGACAGCGTTAACTGAGGCATGAGCAGCACGGCAGAGACTCCTGACCCCGGCTCGCCAACAGGCGCGGCTTTACCACACCCCCTACGAACATTATCGCGACGGCTTGCGCCAGCGTAGCTGCGACAGCACCACAAGGACTTCACACGTCGGGCGGTTGGGGAAAGCATAGGCCTTCCCGGAAAGAGCAATGAACAACTCGACTGACCCTCGCCTCCTCTCAAACCAATTTGGACCCTGGGGAGAACAGGCAAGTGCTCTTTTGACATTCAGCAAAATGAAACCGAGCCATGTTGAGAGCATAAGCATAATCACAATGCGCTGTAAGAAGCAGCAGCTAATTACCTGCGTCGAACTCCGAAGCCATACAATACAGACCGATCGACCTACCCAAAAAACACCACGAGATGGTACGTTTGCAAGATTATGAAATAGCCTGTGCATGGAATGTTATGGCTCGTTCAAAACGAGAGAGCTTTTTTGTGACATTTTTGTGCTCAGCACAAGAATTGAACGGTCGTCTTCGCCCTTAAACAACATTTCAGGCATCCCCCGAAGCCAGATGCACTCCCTGCACAGGAAATCTGAAAGACTTGGCTTCTCTCGCATTCAATTCTCTGTGTGTTGCTGCCTTGGTGTGAATGCTGGTAGCGTAGAGCCACACATTTTTGGACTCCCACCCATAAGACGATTCGCAGCGGACTGGAACACAGGAGAACGAAAGCTATGATTTGAGCTCGCACGAACAAGCGACAAGAGCCCTGAACCTCACCCACTTTGCACGTAGTTCCCGCTTCTTTTGCACTGTAGCCCGCTCAACTTGAAGCTTCTGGGTTCGACGGGTCCGAAACCCACGGGTTCACTTCAGCTTTTCGCCATGAACCCGCATAAGCTGCGCATTTACGTTGGTGAAGCTCAAAGATCTGGTTTTGCGATGCCTCGCCGATTCGTCTCCGCTGTAAAAACTAGAGACACCTGCTCACATGCTCTGCAACCAAATAGCCAAGCACTCCAACCGAGAAAGCGGGTTCAACGATCACGTATGCATAGCCCCCAACGACTTATCTCCCGAAGCTCCAGGCAGTGCCCCTCAGGCACGACCTTCAATGAGAAGTTGGATGGCCCGGTCAACACCACCGGCTTCTCGCAAACCCTGTGCCACGCGGTCCGCGGAGTGCTTGAATGCTGGCACCTTCGAGTCACAAAGGCTCATCTCTTTCAGCTCTTTGTCTCGTGCTTTGCTACTATGGCTTGCCATTTTACGTCGGGGACTCCAGGAAGGTGTTGGCTTTTGGGGGACACTTAGCTTCAGAAATACTACGTACCTTCGAGCCTCGGATTCGAGACTGTCTAGCCCAAACTTTGTCTCAGGTTTGGCAGTGAAGACAACAGAAAGCACCGACGAGCTCAAGTACCAAGAAGTAAGCAAGCAATGCCAGCTTTCAAAGCCTGCCGAATCTTGCAAACGATTCTTGGCCTGCCAACCAAACGACTCAAGCACGCTTCCCACCTTGCTCAGACACCGGGAAAACCTCGGAACCAGCCTTATTGCCTCGGCGGAAATCTTCCACTGCAATTTCCGCACAGCTTTCAGAGCCCGGCCCCGCCTCCGAAACTTGACGCAAGGCATCACGGACATCTCCCTCATATCTTGCAGCAGCCTCCTCAGACACCGGCCTGAGGAGGCACGGCAGGCACTGCAGAACACCCTACAGCTGCTGCCAGAGTGGCTCTCTCCACAGGTTAACCATGCCGCTGCTCAGACCGGGAGATGTGCCACAGGCACGTCCAACCTACTTCAATACAAAATTTTGACTGGCCTGTCCACGCAAAGGCCCACCTTCATTGCCTGCGCTTTGGCACCATTGGCTGGCTGATCAGCGAAGCCAGGACACACCACCAGCGGAGTTCCAGCGAACATGCTTTCCATAAAAGAGTTCTGGCCCCCGTGGGTGACGAAAACCCTGGGCTTCAAACCTTACACACTTCAACTCGTTCGGATTCTGTGTCCACAGACACTACAGCCAACTCAAACGCCAACTAAGCCCTGAAGCGAAGGATGTCCACTTGCGGCAAGATGTTGCGGCAGAGGGCATTCGCAGGCACCTGCTTCAATGGAGACTCTGCGACTGCGACGCTGGAGAAAGGTAGTCGAAAGCGCCTGCCGCCTGCACACCCTCTCTCTCCGATTCACAACAAACTGACGCTTCCCAGCCAGCAGGCATGGCGGCAGAGCCCCAACACAAACAGTCTCGAGGCACCCTGGTTCGACATCTGTGGCTTTGTCGGCCCGGGAGACTTCACATCACAAGCGCTATTTACCCCATGCACCTGCAATTTGTTTTTCCACATTGGATTGTTGAACATTGGTGATGTACAAAGCACGCATTTTGCGCACGCATGTCAACCCGTCGTCTTGCGAATAACCAACACATGTCGACCAATGCAAACCCGATGTTCCTTTACAGACATGCCAAGCTAGAGCCGAGTAGAACCCATAGACTTGTCATACACTTCATATTGTGACAAGCAGCTCAAAAACATCTCACAGCATTCCAAGATCGAATCAAGTCAAATTCGGAAGGCAGAGTCCATAAAATTGTTTGTCATGCCCCATCTGCATCCGACGTTCTGGAGCTAATGTTTGCGCACCTTTTTTTGTTTGAGCAGGGGCTGCAGCGCACTTTCCTGAGGACCATGTTCTGCGATCAGTCTTGCATCCCCGCCTCCACACCTTCCAAGGCATCTGCCTGCGGACCGACCGCTACGACGAGAAGATTGCCCCCACCTGCAATACTGGAAGCAGCGACTGTTCAGAGATGGTGGGGCGAATGCTTCTCGAGTGTCCGGAACCATGAACGGACCACCTTCTGCAGGATCTCCCAATTCAGCGAACACCGCCTTGAATACAGCTTGGCACAGTTGCTTCCCAGTCATAGAGCTGCCGTCCGTGGCTCCCCATCCTCGGGCTTGGTTTGTCTCGAACCTCAAAGCTCTGCCCCGGAACCAACAAGCCCAGATTCCGTGGTTGCTGCTGTCCCCAGTTATCACGGTGCCCATTGAAACCAGGACGATGCTACGACCTGTGCTGACTGAGCACGCATCTCAACAGCGTTCCAAAGGAGATGACGCACTTCTTGGCTCAGCCGCACGAAAAATAGTCGTGTTTCGCCACGGTAATCATAGCATTAGGCTTCGTATCTCACTGTTTTATTTGTTTCACAGCAAATTTCGGCCCTTCAAATTTTGGCAGCCAACTCCCACCTGCTGCAACTGCACTTTCCACCACACCCATAGGAAACTCTTCGTCCACTGCACTGCTGCGTCCATGCAGCTTAAGTGATTCCTCACTCGACCTCTTTGGCAGAAGCTCCTCCCGACAAACAACACATCCTTTGCGATCTGCCTACACTGATTTCGTTCAGCTTCGACACAAACTGCAATTCGGCACCTCCACCTCCCTCTTGAAGCCTGCACATCTCTTTGCGCCGGCGACATCTATCAAAGGGCCCACGAAAGCAAAAGCCTTACCTGCATGACAGCACAGAATGTAGCTCGAGATTGAAGTATCACAACGCCTGGTGGCCACGACATAACTACACTCCGCGAAGCAACCCTGGGCAGCATACGTTGCGGCATCATCCGCCCATTCATCCGCCAATTCTTCCGTGGTCGTCACGAGGTTGAGATCGGAGTAGTGGTCCCCATGCAACGGCAGCGATGTATTCAGTGTCAAATCTGGCAGTTCCAGGTCTTTCTTCAAAGCTTCGATGGCCTCGAGCTGCGGGGAGTTCTCGGAGAGCAACTTGCAGAACTCGGCACCAGTCAAGCCTCCGGTTTGCACGATCTTCTCCATGCTTCCGGGGCCCGGCAGGGTCCTTGCTTGCTTCATGCTTCCCTACACCATCTCACCATGCAGGATGAAGCCCAACAAAAGCGCCACCACAAAAAGAACATAGTTGTCGTCGTCGCAGTCGTGGTAGTAGTGGTAGTCGTAGATGTCGTCGCCGTCGTAATCGTGATAGACGTACTAATAATAGTAGTCATAAAAATAATAATACGAATATCAGTAATCATGTTAATAATAATAGTCGTCGTCGACATAATAATCGTGGTGGTAGTGGTGTTGGCGGTGGTGGTGGTAGCATTGGTAATAGTAGTAGCCGTAATAATAATAATGATAATAACAATAGTAGTTGCAATAATCGACATAATATTTCTCATACTAGTTCTAATCGTAATAAAATGGTGATGATAATAATAATAACAGTAATAGTAACAGTAATAATAATAGTAATAGTAGCAGCTACAACGATAATAATAGCAATAATAATACTAGTAATAGTAATAATAATAATCATAGTAATAGCAAGAATGATATAATAACAATGGTAATAATCATAGCAATAATGATACTAACAATATATAGTAATAGTACTAGTACTAGTAATAGTACTAGTACTAGTACTAGTACTAGTACTAGTAGTAGTAGTAGTAGTAGTAGAAGTAGTAGTAGTAGTAGTAGTAGTAATAGCAGTAATAGTAGTAATAGTAGTAGTAGTAGTAGTAGTAGTAGTGGTAGTAGTAGTAGTAGTAGTAGCAGCAGTAGCAGTAGTAAAAGTAGTTAGGATACCAGATTCTGAGTAGCAGCTCGGACATAGAAGGATGA